GCAGCCCCCCTGGCTCCGGCGGAGGCTGCTGTCACATGCAGCCCCCATACAGCCCCGCACAGCCCTGCACAACCCCATATAGCCCCACACAGCCCCATATAGCCCCACCCAGCCCCATATAGCCCCACGCAGCCCCACAGGCTCCCACCTGCACTTGCTCTGGGCGGTAGAGCTGTGGCTTCCAGTCAGGGATCCAGCCCATGCCGCTTTCTCCGTTGCCAAATTTCTCACAAAAGGCCCCGTACTGGGGCTGGGAGTGCCCGCAGCGGTGGGGGTCGTGGAAGGCGATGTAGAGGAAGAAAGGCCTAGAGGTGGAAAGGGTAGAGGTGGAGGTGGCGTGGCAAAGGGCTGCCCACGTCCCCAGAGACCTTCCCTGGGCTGTGCAGGGGTGAGCTGCACTCAGCGGGAGAACTCCTACCTAATCTGGGTTTCTGGATTACGGGGTGACCTAGAGACAAGGTGTCCCTTCATATTTATGACCAACTGTGACATGGAGACACGTCTTCAGCAAGGCCGGTTTCCCTTTCCCCTCCCGTGCCCACCCCAGGGCGCAGCGTCCGCCTCACCTCTCGTCCTGGCTCTGCAGGAACTGCCGGACCAGCGCTTTGATTCGAGTGATGTTTCTCCCAACCTGCAAGACCGAACTGTTCTCCTCTGTGTAGGCGAAGTCGAAGGGGTAGACAGTCTCAGGCCCAACGTGCTTCTTCCCAATGATCCCTGCAGGAACGCAGACAGGCAGTGTGCAGGCGCAGCGGGGAGCGCGGGGAGGACGCTGATTGCTGCTGCTCTCTCCTCCCGGGGTGTGATGCACCTCCTCTGCTCCAGCACGGGCTGCACGCAGCAAATGCTGCTGAGCGCAGAAGATGCTGGTGGCTTCTCCAGCCATTTCTGCCGGTTGCAGAGGCACTTCCACATCTGCTCAGAAACTGGAACCAACCGGGGGTCATGCTGCCCCCAGTCACAGGCGTGGGCAAGCGCTAGAGCAGCTGGGTGGCCTGGGTGGGAGTTTGGGTCAAGCACGAGCCTTGTGCAAACCTGGGAACCGGGAAGGAGCGGGATGGGGGACAGAAGTGAAAGCGAGGTGTAACGAGGATGGCAGAGGAGCAGTGGTGGGGGGAAGCCAAGCGAACCCCAGGTATCAGTGCAGAGCGTGGGCATGGTGCAGCGGGTGCTGGCTAGCTCGCAGGCAGGTGAGCCACCAAGTGCTCTCGCCCGATGGGGTTCGATGTAGGGAGAGAGAGGGTGTCCCTGCCTGTGTCACTTGCCCTCGGCTCCCTACCTGTCCGGACGTGTGCTTGGTGGAGCAGCTGGGGCAGGCTCCGCACGCTGTCGAAGGAGTTGAAGTGGTGCACGTCCTGGTGCAGCCCATACATCCCATTCTGGTGCTGCGGGCGGGGGGAGACAACGCGGTTGGACTGGGCAATGCT